GGTAAGGCCTTATGTTCTGCTGTTGAGTCGGGGTGATGTTCCTCAGTAGTATTGTGTACGCCATCATCGATTGATAGGTGTACTGCTGCTTCTCATACTGTGTGCCATTTGTTGGATATGGCAGGAACCCGTCGAAGAAGCCAAGGATCTGCGCTCCTTCCATCATCAGCTCGAATTCGAACGACCAGGTAAAGAAGTCCTTTCCGTCAAAAGGCCTTGTCGTTTGTAGTTTTAGAACATGCGCGAATTGCGACTGAACTTGTAATGCGACCAGCGCTCTCTCTTGTCCCAGTGCAGGCTGTGGTTGCGGCATGAAGCTGACGGAGCCGCACCGGGGCTCGTACGGAGTGAAGGTAGGTTGTTGATGTTGATTCCCACGTGCGTAGGATGAGCCATCGAGACTCATGGGCGTCACGTTGTTGTTGTTGTTGTTTGATTGCGCAGGTACTCCTTGCTGGTGCTGCTCGTAGAAGGACATGAAGGAGAAGAATTTCTCCATCATGCTTGGATCAAAGCCCGTGCCTTGGTTTGCGGGTGTTTCCGTAGACCCAGCTGCTGGTCTCGTCGTTGTCCCCTCCTTTGTCTGTAGGCCAGAGGCAGGTGGTGGAGTAGGGGTAGTACCGGGAGAGCCGTTGGAGGAGCTCCTCTCCTTTCTAGCAGACATGTCTTCTTGATGTATTAAGTGTTGAAAAAGAGTAACTTTTAACTCTAACTGCTCTCATACCATGTTGGGCTGAAACGCCCTAGGATCTTTGTAGAGTTAAAGTCTTGAGTAAATGATGTAATAGCGGAAGCGTTGAATAAAGTCCTTGAACCACCTTGCACTAGTATGTGAGGGCAAAGTAAGTTGATTAAAGCAAAGAGATACAGGAATATAAATATATGAGTACAGAGAATATGAAGAGACATTAGAACTACTTTACTGTTGCGGTTCGATACAGTGCGACTCAGGCAACTGCTCAATGTCGAGTCAGTTGTGTGCAGGCCCCACCTTATCAGAGTAAATTACTCTGTTTCTCTGAAAATCAGAGTCATTTTTTAAAGTAACTCTGTACTCGCTGGGTTTTTTTTTTGGAACTTAAGATTTCTCTGATTTGTCAGAGTTATGCTGTAGGTTACTCTGAGGCCTGTGGGATTTTTTCTCAGGGACCGAATTTACTCTGTATAGGAAATGCATGCCCCCTAGCCGAAACCCACCCACCCCCCTCCCCCCCCTCCCCCTCCCAGGGCCTCAGATATCAGGAAAAAAACCCTGAAATTCCTGATTTTGGCAGCCGTTTTTCAAGCTACCCTGAAAAGTCAGAGTTGGGATTTTAGTAGGACTGATCTTTCAGCGTTTTTTTATTGGCCACACTGATATTTCAGGTTTTTTTCCCGTTGTACACTGATGCCACTACGTTGTAACGAAACCGACACTGAAAGCGAATCTCACCTGTGACATGTCACCTCGACCGCAATTGCAGGGAATCTCAGATTCCCTGTATGTAGGCACCCCGTGGCGGGACCACCCTTAGAAATGTTGCCTTAGGTTCACGTTGAGAGCTGTTTTTTTGGCGGGGCGCCTCACACCATTGGGCCGTTTCGGTGCAGCATCCAGTGTTGGCGAATCCGAATGTGGCATACATGTGGTGCTGGTGGGCTGCCAAGGTTCCTGCCCCGTACCCATCATGTGCGATGCGTTAGGTTTGGGCTGTGCTGGCAAGCACCGTGCCATCCTCCACGCCGCCCAGCCCATCCACCGTTTCTGCCATCTAGAAGTAGGACTTTAAAATAGAGTCAGTGTTTTTGCAAAAGGTACACTGATGCATCAGACTTTAAAAATTCGCAACACTGACATTTCAGCCTTTTTGTTTTTTGGGACACTGAAAATCAGAGTTAACACGCAGGGGGACCCTGATGGGGTGACGACCCTAAAAGTGAATCTGAGGCCCTGCCCCCTCCCCACGTTTAGCGGGTTTTCCCTGAATCGTTGAGATTATTATCCTGATTTCGGTCGTGTGTTGGGGTCAATATGAGCGTTGATTGGCTACTAAAGTTTGACAACTTCTCAACCAGCGCACATGTCAGCCACTCCCCTCCCCTCTCCTTGAGTCAGATTATCGGTGCCAACACCTCACTTCGAAACAACGCACTGAGGGGGGAAACGTGGGCGACGCGGAAATGAAACATAGTGCAAGCACAAAAGGCGTAACAAAAACTTTCATACAGCAAACGTAACCAACATTAGAGTAGAGAAAAATATTACTCTGACGTGCCTAGGTTTTATTTTTTAAAGTGTAGGGTTACTCTGACAAATCAGAGTAAGGCGCATGAACAACCCTAGATTTCAGAGTTGGGAAAAAAACTACTATGGAAATCAGAGTACCTAGAATCCAAAAGTAGGCCCTGGTTGTGTGTCCTTGCTGTCGCGCTGCGTCAGGTCAAAGGTCGCTGACCTTTGACTTTCTCGTAACCTCCAGCGGTTATGTTAACCTCCGAGGGTTGACTCGCGATGCTTCGATTTGAGCTGCTTCACTTGTGTCTTGAGTTTCGACACGACAGAGGCGCTTAAACTATTTGTTCCCAACAATTATGAGGGTGGTTTTGGTTTTGAAGCTGTCTTACAGCTCACGCAAGCCACAGTGCTTTTATTTCTTTACATAATTTTCCGTTGGGAAGTTGATTATATAAATAAAGATCGACCTTGCTGAATTTCAATAGGTGCATGTGAAACCATATTAAGCTTGCTTAATTTCAGTAAGTCACCTTTCGCAGGGTATAAATATCAAAGTGAATTATCGGGGAGGTTCATAACGCATTTCAGCCGATCACAGTCCCGCCCTCCTCCCACGATTTTTATCTCACGCCGCTGATCTGGTCGCACTAGCTCAACAGCTTTTCTCCTCATCAGGTGATTTCTTCACTAGCTAATCTCCTCGCTGTCTAACCTTTCCTAACTTCCTCCCATTCAAGTCCGTCTCGGTCTTGTGTCTGCGCAGGGCTTTCTCTCCCGTAGCTTAGGCTCGACGCTGCTAGTATCTCAAGTGTGGAGTGTTATCAACGACTTGTTAGCAGCTAAGTTGTGTTCGTTACCGTCTGGATCAATGGTGCAGCTGTGGTGGGCTGTAGCGGCAGCCGCAGTGCCAGTCGTTTTCATTCGAAACCTCGTGCGAAACCGCGACGGCGACTCCGATTCGCGAAACAACGCCTCGTCGTCGCGGCGAAAAGGCGGCAAGCGCGGCGGCGTCGCCGTCGCAGACGACGCATCCGTCGGCGGCGACTCGTTTGTCTGCGAACGCGTGTGCGCGTCGCGAAGGCTCTTAAATCGAATGGGCCCGTTCTCCAAGGACCCGACGCCGAACACGTGTGTGACTGTATGCGGAGTGTCTGACGTGGACTCGTGCACGGAGGCGTGTCGGCGCGTGGTGTGCGTGAACCCGCACCACGTGCCCAACTGGAACGACAGCTGCATGCGCCGCTGCCAGGACGAGTGCCTTCGCGGCCTCGCGCGCTGATTGGTCTAGTGCGCTCGTTGGTCGAGCACGCTGATTGGACGAGTGCATCCACGGCATCGCGCGCTGATTGGGTTGTGCGGTGCAGTGGAGACTAGGCCATGGAGATTAGACTGCGGCGTGCAACGCGGGGATTTAGCGCAAGGCTGTCGGGGAGGGTCAATCAGCTATTGTGTGTTGGTCAGGCGTGTGTTGCCGGAGGAACTCCGGGTTGATGGTAGGGAGGCGCAGCAGCAGCAGCAGCAGCAGCAGCAGATGTGTGTTGATTAATTTTAGGGGCTTCAAGTGCGGTATAGACGGATGCTAGGAGCATGGATTCGGTGAGAAAGGACACGTGACAGCAGCAGCAGCTGCCGGGGAACGGACACGTGGGAGCACCAGCGGAAGAAAGGGCATGATGCAGCAGCAGCCTGCATGCTTCATGTGCATCTCTTGATCTCTATACCTTGATTCTGTCAGTGCTGTGTTGGGGCAGCTTGCAGCAGGGATGAATGGAGAGAGGAAGGTTAGGTATCCCTAACACTTCCTTTTACTTGGATGCCCTGCCATGTCAAATAGTAGGTTCCTTCACTTACCGTATCTTAGAAGTCAGCAGCAATCATTTTCGTTCTGACATGTAGTAGTTGATTAGGGTAGTTGAGGCGTCTGAACCTAGGAGGATGGTGGTGGATGGTTTATGGCTGAAGATAATGTCTCAGTTGGCTCTCTCATGGCAGATTGTCTGGGATCATCATATCACACAAATAAGGTCTGAACTGAATTGAGTAGAAACATTGCTGGTACTGAATTTCGTTGCAACGACATATAGTCGTGAAAAGTGTGATAAAAAGCACAACACTATTACCGTGTGAAACCACGAACTCAACCGCATTCAACAATCAGTGAAAGAACCTACGTTGTGGCCCAAACTTCGAACCAGCCGTGGTGCCGAGTCAGCTTTCCCGGCACCGTCACGGCGCAGTCAGCACTGCCACGACGTTACTTTTCCGTCACCACAGCGCCTCTCGCGCAGCATTTCCCGCGAATATCATACTCGTTATAGGATTCAAAGAACAACTCGAAGAGCAGCGAGGTTCCGCTAGTGTGGTAGCATGGCGGTCGTTTCGCTGCTTTCTACGTGTGCTAATCTCGTCCCTTCATCCTCGCACCCAGCGCATGCCTTGTGCCTCTCAACCGCTCCCAACCACTCTCTCCGTCACCGTCTTACCGTCCCTCTCTGTCCCTCGCCCACTCCCTCCCTCTCCGCAAGCAAGCGAGTCCCAAATATCTCCTCGGTGGTGAGAGACCGACTAAGAAACCCGTCTCTGCTTCGCTCTAGGTCAACTTCTCAGCCTAACTCCTTCGCTCGCGCGCCAAAAGCGTTAGATTTGGTTTCTCGTCGCTCGCGACTTGTGGCCGTTCGATCTAGGACGTTCGACGAACCGCGGGAGAGATCCGCGGGGAGATCAGGGGAGGAGAGGGGGGAAGAGCGATGGGGGAAGGAGAGAGGGGAAGAGAGTTGGGGGGAGGATGGGGTGGAGGATGGATGGGGGGAGGAGAGGGCAAACGGTGGATGGCGGGAGCGGAAGGCGAGGGAAAGATCAGCGGAAAGTTGGGGGCAGCGATTGGCGGAATGGGCTGGGGGGGAAGGCGAGGGCGGAGGGTCAGGGGAGAGATCAGCGGAGAGATGGGGGGAGCGGAGGGGTGGGGGAGGCACGAGGGGCGCGCGGGGAGGACGAGGGGGGCGGACAGAGAGGGGTGGGCGCGGGGGCAGGGGACAGGGTTCAGGGTTTAGCCGTTACGGGACGGATTGGTTTGATGAGGGGCGTGGAGGGTTTCGGGGGAGACGGCGGGGAGAGGGGGATGGGGAAAGGGCGGAGTGGCAAGGGGAAGGAAGGGGGATCGGCGGAAGAGGGGAGAGCGGATGGGGGGAGGGCGGAGAGGGTTTCGGGTTTGGATCAAGGTTTGGTGGTAGGCGAGAGAAGGTTAACAGGCGAAAGCACACGGAGCTGGCGATAGACCCCGCGCTGGTTACCAGCATTGGCGAAGAGGCGAACGGGGGGGAGGAGGGGGAAACAGGTGGGCCGGGCGAGGGGTTGAAGGGGGATGTTAAGGAAGCGCGAGAAGGGGAAAGGGGAATGGGGCAGGGGGGAGGCGGAAGTGACTATAGAGGGCGTGATGGTAGGGAGATCGGGGGAAGGGGGAGAGGGGGAAGCGGAATAGCACTGGCGGGTGGGAGAGGGGGAAGGGACGCGCGGCAAGGGGGGTGGGGGGGTGATGCGGATGAGTGGGCGGAGGACGGGGGGGATTGGCGGGTGGCGGAGCGGGAGGCTGATGATTGGGGGGACGACAGGGGCGCGCGGGGGGACGGGGGAAGGGCAAGGGGAGGCGGGGCAAGCTCGAGGGGGGGCAGGAGTGGCGGATGGGAAAGAGGAGGGCGCAATGGCGGAGAACAGATGGGGGTTTACGAGCAGTGGAGCAGGGGGATGAGCAAGCGGAGGGCGAAGGTTGTGGGGGTGCGGGAGGAGGGAGAGGGGGGCATGGGGCAAGGTGGGGAGGAGGGGAAGGCGGGGAGAGAGGGTAAGGAAGGGAAGGAGGGGAGGGAAGGGAATGAGGAGAGGGAGGGCATGGGGGAAGAAGGAGGGAATTCAGATGAGGAGGGGGGGAGGCGCTGGTGGCAGCGCGGGGATAAGTATGTTCGGGGGGAGAGGAATTTGAGGGAGGAGGGGGATGTGAGGGGGGAGAGGAATTTGAGGGAGGAGGGGGATGTGGGGGGGGAGGGGAATGTGAGGGGGGAGAGGAATTTGAGGGAGGAGGGGGATGTGGGGGGGGAGAGGGATGTGCGTGGTGAGAGGGGTGAGGGTAGGGGGCGCAACGTGGAGGAGAGGATGTATAAGGGGAGGGATTATAAGGAGGGGGGTTATGAGAGGAGGGATTACAGTGAGCCTGAGAGAGTGCAAGAGGAGAGGGGTTATGATAGGAGGAGCGGGTACAGCGGCAGAGGAAGGTATGAGGGGGAGGGGCGCATGGAAAGAGACAGGGGCGTGGGTAACAGGGAAGGGGTGGGCGGTAGCAGAGGGGGGACGGGTAGCAGGAGAGTAGACAGGGAAGGGGGCTATGATGAGAGGAACGGGTACAGCGGCAGAGGGAGGTACGAGGGGGAGGGGCAGATTGAACGAGACAGGGGCATGGGCGGTAGCAGAGGAGGCATGGGTAGTAGCAGCAGAGTAGACAGGGAAGGTGGCTATGATGAGAGGAACGGGTACAGCGGCAGAGGGAGGTACGAGGGGGAGGGGCGCATGGAGAGGGATGCAGGTGCGGGCGGCAGGGGAGGCATGGGCGGGGGAAGGGGAGATGGGAACGAGAGGGATGAATATGATGGTAGGGGCGTTTGCACGAGGAGAGGAGGTGAGCCGAGGGGCATGGGCACTGGAAGCAGGGGGGGTATGAGCGGGGAAAGAGGATTGAACGGAGGCAGATTGGGCAGGGAAAGGGGAGCAGAGGGAGGGAGAGGGGCAAGGTGGGAGAAGGAAGGAGGCACGAGTGGTAGAGGCACTCGGCGAGAATATGCTGAATGGGAGGAGCAGGAAGGAGAGGAAGGAGAGGAAGGTGATGAGGAGGGGATGCGAGGAGGCGGAGGGAGAGGCAGCAGTGGTGGGAGAGGCACGTTGCGGCAGTCGTCAACATCAGAATCAGTGGTATCAAGTTTACCTGCTGCTGTTCTTGAAGAGCCCACTTTGAACTGCGAGCATTTCACAAAGTAAGGAGCGTCATTGTGAAATTCGCCTCCCACACCCCATACCTGCATATGCTGAAATTCATTGCAAGCATTTCACAAAGTAAGGAGCTTCAATGCTTTCATGCACCTTCCCCACCTCCCATACCTGCATACGTTTCTGCACCATAAATACATTGCTTCCTTCCCATCCGCCTGCTCTATCACCCACCCACCCCACGCCCTGTCTCCCCCTCTCCTTCCCCCCTTTTGAGTCGACTCAAAAGTCACCAACCCCACGCTCTGACTCCCTCTCCTACCCCTCTTCTCCTCTGTGTAGGAATAGAAGGCATAGCTGTATCGTGTTACAAGGATTCACGGGAAGGAGAAGGGGGAAGAGTAAAAGGGGGTTCTCATAGTTGTGGGATTTGAAAGGGGTTCAATTGGGATTCTGTCCAACATTGGCCGAATTTGAGTCGACTCAAGAATAGAAGGGGGTTCTCATAGTTGTGGGAGTTGAAAGTGGTTGTGGGAATCTGTCCAACATTGGTCTTCCTGCTTGTATCACTTTTGAGCATTCTTCTGGCAATTGATACCAACAAATTAAGCTGACAAACTCTTTTGAGGGTAATTTAGCGATCTTTTCCAACTCCCTTGCCCACCTCCCGTCCTCCCGCTCCCTTCATGCACCTGCTCCACCTACACTCGCAGTGCTGCCCTTGACCGCCCTCTAATCATCACACTGCTCATCACTCACCTTTCTTCTCCCCGTTCTCCCCCCCTTCTCCCCCATGCAGCTGCTCCAGCTACACTCGCAGTGCTGCCCTTGACCGCGCTCTAGTCATGGCGGAGGCAGAGGCGCGTAACATTGCTCATCACCTGCCTTTCGTCTCCCCCTTCTCTCCCCTTTCCCCCCCATGCACCTGCTCCGCCTGCACTCCCAATGCTGCCCTGGACCGCCCTGCCATTATCACAGAAGCAGAGGTGCATAACACCACAGAAGCAGAGGTGCATAACACCACAGAAGCAGAGGTGCATAACACCACAGAAGCAGAGGTGCATAACACCACAGAAGCAGAGGTGCATAACACCACAGAAGCAGAGGTGCATAACACCACAGAAGCAGAGGTGCATAACACCACAGAAGCAGAGGTGCATAACACCACAGAAGCAGAGGTGCATAACACCACAGAAGCAGAGGTGCATAACACCACAGAAGCAGAGGTGCATAACACCACAGAAGCAGAGGTGCATAACACCACAGAAGCAGAGGTGCATAACACCACAGAAGCAGAGGTGCATAACACCACAGAAGCAGAGGTGCATAACACCACAGAAGCAGAGGTGCATAACACCACAGAAGCAGAGGTGCATAACACCACAGAAGCAGAGGTGCATAACACCACAGAAGCAGAGGTGCATAACACCACTTATTGCTTTCCCTTTCTCCCCCCTTTACCCCTTCACCTTCCCCTTGCAGCTGCTCTGGCTGCTCCCTGAATGCTGCTCTTGACCGCCCTCCCATCATCACAGAGGCAGAGGCACAAAACGATCTTCTCACATTCCCCTTCCCCCACCCCTACTCCCCTCCCACTCCTCCCCTCCCCTCTCCAACCAAGCAGCTGCTCTGGCTGCTCCCTGAATGCTGCTCTAGACCGCCCTCCCATCATCAAGGAAGCAGAGGCGTTCTTTGAAGCTCGTGGGGTGGCGGGCTTTAAGATGCACACAGCTAATGTGGTGAGCGGTGGGAGAGGGGAAGGGGCGGTGTGTATTCATGTATACACTGCCTTGCCTACCCACGTGCATCCTTTCTTTTCCATTCTTGCGGGGGGAGGAGAAATGGCGGGCTTTAAGCTGTCCTCAGCTGATGTGGTGAGCGGGAGAGCAGAGAGGGGGATGTGAATGCATGCATATATCATCATAAGTTCACATCACTCGCATGGGGTGAGAGATGGAGGCGGTGTGATTGTCTCCCTACCGCTATCTCACGTCTAAGTGGAGTGGCGGTGCCAGCCAAGCTAGTAGTGAGGGGCACAGCAGGGGATCCGCTGGTGGGGCTGTCCTGTTACTTTATCGCCCTCTCCTCCTCCCACCCTGTCCTCCCATCCTGTCGTCCCATCCTGTCGTCCCATCGTGTCCCCCATCCACCCTGTCCCCATCCACCCTGTCCCCCATCCACCCTGTCCCCCATCCACCCTGTCCCCCATCCACCCTGTCCCCCATCCACCCTGTCCCCCATCCACCCTGTCCCCCATCCACCCTGTCCCCCATCCACCCTGTCCCCCATCCACCCTGGTCCCTTTTCTGTCTCTGTCTCTCTGCAGGTGGAGTGGCGGTGCCATACCGAGCTGCCAGTGAGGGGCACAGCAGGGGATCGGCTGGTGGGGCTGCCTTGTCAATATATTGCTGTCTCCTCCCCCCACCATTTACAGGTGGAGTGGCGCTGCTGTGCCAAGCTAGCAGTGAGGGGCACAGCACACCCCATGTCTTTCCCGCAACACCCACCCGTTGCCCAACCCTTGTTGCCCGAGCAGGTGGAGTGGCGCTGCAGAGCCAAGCTAGCAGTGAGGGGAACAGCAGAGGAGCCGCTGGTGGGGCTGTATGCAGCACGGTCGCACGATGTGGTGGATATTCCCACGTGTAGAGGTGTGTGGGTGGGAAAGTTCCATACCTGTATGTAGACTGGAACGTGTTCGAGGCGAACCGAACAGGTTTTGTTTTTTAGCTCAAATCGTTCGCCGAACAGTGTTCGATGTTCGCCCGAACACGTTCGTGTTCGGGCCGCTGCTGAAATTTGCCCGCGACGAACACGAACGCCTTCGAGGTTCGCCCGAACACGCCTCCACAGGCGAACAGCGAACACCTGTTTTTTCCTAAACTGTTCGCCGAACCGAACAGTGTTCGGTTCGGCAAAAGAGGGTGTTCGACAAGGGGCGAAGACGAACATGTTCGTGTTCGCCCTTTGCTCATCCCTAATCTCATGTGCAGAGGCACCATGTGATAATCCTGTTGTAACTGTATCTTATACACAACATACATAGGCTAGAATGGTGTAGCTCTTTATGTTCTTGGGGGGTTGGGTGTACACTCCAACCACATTTTGTGGTTGGTCAAGGTTGGGTTTGGTCTTGGTCCTTGGTTGGCACTTGCTAACTTTTGGTCCTAAGGCCTACCAATCACAACCTAGCAACATTGTGGGGTTACCTACTCCACAAGGCATCTCCCCCATTGGCCAACTTAGTGGCCAATAGGGTTTGCTCCTTCTTCACCCCTCTCTTGCTTGCATGCTTGTACTATAGAGCCTCCATGGCTCATTATTCAACTACTCTTGAATTCTATCATGGTATTCAGAGCCAAATGGCTCACGCCACCTTCCCTCGATCCTCATGTTGTAATTCCCTCCCCGCTCCCTTACCCTAGCGGACTATGACCTACATCAGCCCACCCGCTCCTCAGATCTAGCCTCCCGCGGCTCAGTTCCGCCTCCCGCGGCTCAGTTCCGCCTCCCGCACCTCAGATCTAGCGTTCCGCGGCGTAGATCTCCTCCTCCGCGGCCTCAATCCTCCCTCCCGCGGCCTCTATCCTCCCTCCCGCAGCCCCTATCCGCTCCGCCGTGGCAGCAATCCTTCCTCCCGCCGCCACGCCTCCATCTGCCCGCCGACGCGTCCGACCTCCGCGCCGACGCGGACGACCAGCGCGGCGACGCGGACGACCTGCGACCGCCGCGGACGGCCAGCGCGCGACCCCCGACGACCAGCGCGCTGCCGCGGACGGCCAGCGCGGCCTCGCCGACGGCCCGCGCGCTGACGCGGACGGCCAGCGCGGCCCCGCCGACGACCCGCGCGCTGACGCGGACGGCCAGCGCGGCTCCGCCGACGACCCGCGCGCTGACGCGGACGGCCAGCGCGGCCCTGCCGACGACCCGCGCGCTGACGCGGACGGCCAGCGCGGCCCCGCCGACGACCCGCGCGCTGACGCGGACTGCCAGCGCGGCCCCGCCAACGAGCCGCGTGCTGACGCGGACAGCCAGCGCGCGGCCACGAAAGAACCGCGCGCCACCGCGGACGGCCAGCGCGCGGCCGTCGACGCCCCTGCGCCGACGTGGACGGCTGGCGCGCAGCCGCGGCTGATCTGCCCGCCGTCGCGTTCGCCTGCCCGCGATCTCCACGACCTCGAAACCCTAATACCTCCCCGCACTTCCGCACCAGCCTCTCTTCCCCTCTACCTCCTCCCCCTACTCCACCCCTAACGGCACCAGCAGCAGCAGCAGCGGCATCGGCGGCGGCAGCTGCAGCGGCATCGGCGGCGGCAGCAGCAGCGGCATCGGCGGCGGCAGCAGCAGCGGCATCGGCGGCGGCAGCAGCAGCGGCATCGGCGGCGGCAGCAGCAGCGGCATCGGCGGCGGCAGCAGCAGCGGCGGCACCAATACCAACAGCAGCAGCGGCGCCTTCACCCCTCCGCCGTCATGGCGTCATCCGACTCCTCGGTCGATCTAGCGACCATTGACGCCCTCGAGCTGCTCGGCGACAACTCGGCCGCCAACTGGCACTCCTATGCTCACTCCGTCGAGGTGTTGCTCTCCTCGGTCATCGTCAGTGGTTATACACTCCGCTCCGTCGTGTTCCAGGAGGAAGGCGGACTCCAGCCCATCGCCCCTTCTGCCCCCACCGGACCTCCTCCTGATGAGCCCGGACCTGAGCCCGAGTCCCCTGGTGATCCTCCCTCCTTCGCACCGGATGTCAACAATCCTCAAAGCGTGGAAACTGCCATCCGTGCCTACCGCAACACACTCAACGACCACCTTCGCCGTCAACTGCGCTATGAGGACGACAAGCGCGCCTACGACGAGGCTGCTGCCCGTCACCGCGACTACCACGCCCAACTCACCACGTACACTACACGCCTCGCTAGCTACACCTCCGACATCGCTGCGTGGCGCATTGCTGACCGTCGAGCTCTCGCCATCCTCCTCGCCACTATCCCCTCCTCCCACCTGTGGCAACTGCTTGTCGACCTCTTTGACCGGCAGGACATCGCCACCCTCTATGCCCTCATCAAGGACTTTGGATCCATCACCATGGATTCCACTGCCGGCGCAGCCGCCTTTACTCGCCGCGTCCTTGACCTTGCTCGCCGCCTTGCAGCACTTGGTGTTACCTACCCTGACACCGTCATCTGCTGCCACCTCCTCGAAGGCCTCACTCCTGCCTTCGATGCCCACAAGCTGGCCTATATGCAACTCCTCTCCAAACATGACACTCCCGCTCAAGTTGCCCAGTGGATTATCACCACCGAGGCAGAAATCCTTCGCCACTCCTCCTCCACTGCCGCGGTAGCACAGCAGCGCAGCAGCAAAGGCGGACGTGGAGGGGGGCGTGGAGGTGGGCATGGAGGTGGTCGAGGCGGCTCTGGCGGTCGTGGTGGTGCGGGTCGTGGTGCAGCAGCGGCCTTCCCACCCTGTCAGTATCTTCCCCTTTATGGCCCCACCCGAGGCCAACGCTGCAACCAAACCACTCATGCAACTGAGACGTGCTTTAAGGCACTCAGCGATGAGTGGTTCGCTCGTGGGAACTCTGGCACCCCTCCTCGCTGGTCCGCCCTTAATCCCCGCCCCACTCCCCTCGACGTTCGCACCTCTCCCCTCTACGCTCCTTCCTCCTCCTCCCAGGCCCACCAGGCCTTTGCTCTCCCCTCTCAGCAGCAGCAGCAGCAGCAGCATCAGCAGCAGCAGCAGCAGCAGCAGAGTGTACAACAGCAGGGACCGCAGCAGTACGGGCAGCAGCTTCAGCAGCTCCAGCAGCAGCTTCAGCAGCTCCAGCAGCAGCTCGACCTCCAGCCCCAGCTTCCTCTCCTCCCTCCTCCTCCTGTCCCCCAGCAGCAACAGTTTCCCGGCTGGACCGCTGGGAATGCAGCCTCTGCGGCCCACCTCTCCGGTCCCTCCCCTGCGCCGTCCACAGGTGGTAGTGTGACCCCCTTTCCCTCCTCTGGCTTTGTTGGTCTGCTTAGTCAGCCTCCCTCTGTTGCATCCCCTATGTATGCCCCTGCTACTAATGAAACTTCCATTCAGTACTCCGCCTCACCCTCCTCCACCCTTGAGTTCGTCCTGGATAGTGGAGCCACTGACAATGTCTTTCGCGATGCTGGCAAACTCCATCCTCTCCCCACACCCACGTCCCTCCTCGGCGCTGACAGCAGCTTTTCCATCCCCTGTCACAACACGTCCACCCTTCCCTGTCCTCTCTTTCCCTCAGGTACCGTCACAGGTCTTCACATTCCCTCCCTTCGCACTAACCTCCTTTCCCAAAGGTCCCTCCAACAATCCATGATCACCACTGTCACCCCAGGAGGTGCTAACCATTGTGACCTTTTCCAAACCTCCACAGGTCGCTTCCTCGCCCGCATTCCCTACTGTCACCGCTCCCGTCTATACACCCTTCGGGTTCCTCGCCCCTTCACCTTCCAAGTTGCCTCCCCCCCCCTCCTCCCCCCCCCTCCTCCCCTCCCTCCCACTAACCCACCCGTCCCCCCCCGCCCCCCTGACTCTGACTGCTCATGTCGCTCCCTCTCCCACCCTGCTATCCTCCTCCATCACAGGCTAGGTCACCCCAACTTTGCCACTCTGCGCTCCTCTGCATCCTCCGGTCTCCTCCACGGTCTCCCCTCCTCCCTCCCTCCCCTCCCAAAGTCCCCTGCCCCCCCTTGCGTCGTCTGTGTTCAGAGCAAGCTCAAGCAGCAGCCGCACTGGAGCTCCCCCTCCGCTGCAGCCCAGCCACTTGATCTTGTTCACATGGACCTCTGGGGCCCTAACCCCTCCCCCACTCGCCAAGGCCATCGCTACCTCCTCGTGCTCGTCGATGATCACAGTCGGTACTCGTCCGTCTCTCTCCTTCGGACGAAGGCGGACGCCCCGACTGCGATCATTGCCTGGCTCGAACAGGCAAACACCCACTTTGGGCGCCCTGTTCGCCGCCTCCACTCTGATGGTGGTGGTGAGTTCCTTAACAACCAGATCTCCTCCTATTGCCAGTCCCGCGGCATTCTTCAGACTTACACCCTCCCTCACTCCCCACAGCAGAACGGTGTCGCTGAGAGCCGTGTTCGGGAGATCACCAAAACGGCTCGGTGTCTCCTTGTCCACGCCTCCTGCCCCCCTTCTCTGTGGGGCTACGCCCTCCTTCATGCCGCCCTCCTTACTAACCTTTACCCTCACCCCCTCCTCCCCTCCACCACCCCCACTGAGCTATGGACAAAGGACAAACCCGATGTCTCCCCTCTTCGGGTCTGGGGCTCAAAGGCATATGTCCTCATCACCCATCTGACCGATCCCGTTCCCTAGGAAAACTTGCCCCTCGTACCCTTCCCTGCATCTTCCTTGGTCATAACCCCTCTTCCCCCGACTATCTTTTCCTCCACCCCCCCTCCGGTCGACTAATTCGCAGCAGGGATGTCGTCTTTGACGAATCCACCCCATACTATTCCTCTCCTCCGTCCACTGACCCACTCCCACCTCTGACTCGTCCCCTTGTCTGGTCTGACACCACCCCTCCCCCTCTCCTCCCTCCTCCCCCCATCCTCCCACCCCCTTCCCCACCGCCCCCCCAGTCCCACGGTGCCCCTCCCTCGTCTGGTGACATCTTTGACCCGGACCCCCTGTCTTCCCCTGTCTCCCCCGCTCACTCCTCCCCTGGTGCCCCTCCTCCCCCTCCCTCCCAACCCTCGCCTCCCTCCCCCCCTCCCCGCACCACACTCACCCGGTATCCTCACACCAGGTCATGCGACGGTATTCTTGGTGCACCGCCCCCTGTTACCCTCTCTACCTCTACCCTCCCCCCTCTTTCCCCCCTTCTTCACCACTTCTTCCAGGCTGTCCTGCATCAAGCCCCTCATGCACCCGCCCCCTCTACTACCTCTCCAGCAGCGGCAGCAGCAGCAGCTCCAGCAGCAGCCACCGCAGCGGCACCAGCAGCGGCACCAGCAGCGGCAAGTGCAGCGGCACCAGCAGCGGCAAGTGCAACGGCACCAGCAGCGGCGAGTGCAGCGGCAGCGGCGGCCTCGGCAGCGGCACCAGCAGCGGCGGCACCAACAGTGGCACCAGCAGCGGCACCTGCGGTCATCCGCGCCTTCCACACCTCCCTCTCTGAGGACTCCCATGAGGAGTTCCTTGACCTCCACCTCTCTGACCCCTCCCTCCTTCCCATCACCTCTGACCTCTCTGGAACACCAGTCTTCGCCTTTTCCTCCGCACCCTCCACCTTCATCCCAACCACGTATGAGGAGGCCATGGCTTGTCCCGACGCCCCGCTCTGGCTCGCCGCCATCATCAAGGAGCTCGAGGCGTTTATTGCCAACTCCTCCTTCGTTGATGTGCCTCGCCCTCCCCCCTCTACGAACGTGGTCAAGGGGAAGTGGGTGTTTCGCGTCAAGCAGCTGCCAGGAGAACCGCCCGTCTACAAGGCCCGGTATTGCGCCAAGGGCTTCACGCAGCGGTATGGCTTTGACTTCTTCGACACCTTCTCCCCCACCGCCAAACCTGCTACCGTTCGCGCCGTCCTCGACCTCGCCGCTCGCCTCAACATGGAGATCCACTCGATGGATGTCTCCAACGCCTTCCTGCAAGGCGTACTACGTGAACTGATCTACATGGAGCGCCCAGCGGGCTTCCACCTCCCCTTCCCCGCTGACTCTGTCTGGCAGCTGCGCCGCCCAGTGTATGGGCTCCGCCAGGCTCCCAGGGAATGGCATGCCAAGCTTGCTGCCACCCTTGTCGAGCTTGGGTTTCGCACCTCCCGCTCCGACGCCAGCCTCTTCCTCCGCACCTCCCCCTCCCCCTTCTACATCCTCGTCTATGTTGACGATATGATTCTTCTCACTGCCGATCCTGCCGAGCTCGAGACTGTCAAGACGGAGCTGGGCAGCCGTTTCAAGTGCAAAGACCTGGGAGAGCTGCAGCACTACCTCGGCATGACCATCACTCGCGACCGCTCCGCCCGCACCATCTCTCTCTCTCAGGGCCACTACCTCCAGCAGGTCTTAGAACGGTTTGCAATGGCGCGCGGTAACCCCCAGCCCACTCCCCTTTCGGTCGGGCACCACCTCTCCCCACCCTCCTCTCCCTCTCCCTCCTCCCATCCTTATCCTGAACTCATCGGCTCTCTCATGTACGCCATGGTCTCTACTCGCCCTGACCTTGCCTACCCCATCAGCGTCCTCGCTCGCTTCGTTGGCGCTGGCAAGCATATGGAGGAGCACTGGCAGGCCGCCAAGCGCGTTCTTCGCTACATTCGTGGCACCAAGGACTATGTCCTTACCCTTGGCGGCCCTTCCCCACCCCTCCTCCACGGCTACAGCGACTCTTCCTGGGCTGACTCTCGACCGGATCGGCGGTCCTCTCAGGGTTATGGCTTCTCTCTGGGCAGCGGCCTCATCAGCTGGCGGTCCACACGCTCCTCTGCCGTCGCCCTCTCCTCCTGCGAGGCAGAGCTCTACGCTGCAACCATGGCCGCGCAGGAGGCGCGCTGGCTCACCTTCCTCCTTGATGAGCTTGGAGCCCCCCAACGCTGTCCCACCATCTGGTGTGACAACGCTAGCACCATCCACCTCACCAAGGATGCTGTGTATCATGGGCGCTCCAAACACATTGAGCTCCGCTACTTTTTCATTCGTGAACTCGTTGAGGCCGGCCATCTTCGCCTTGGCAAAATCGACTCGGCGGCCAACCTCGCTGACATCTTCACCAAAGCCCTTCCCCAGGCGTCCCACTCCTTCCTTCTGCGCCTCCTTGGCCTCACCCCTCCTCCGGTTTTGGCGGCCTCCTGATTCCATTTTCTAGCCTTATGCCTGTTGGGGGGTTGTGTTGTAACTGTATCTTATACACAACATACATAGGCTAGAATGGTGTAGCTCTTTATGTTCTTGGGGGGTTGGGTGTACACTCCAACCACATTTTGTGGTTGGTCAAGGTTGGGTTTGGTCTTGGTCCTTGGTTGGCACTTGCTAACTTTTGGTCCTAAGGCCTACCAATCACAACCTAGCAACATTGTGGGGTTACCTACTCCACAAGGCATCTCTCCCATTGGCCAACTTAGTGGCCAATAGGGTTTGCTCCTTCTTCACCCCTCTCTTGCTTGCATGCTTGTACTATAGAGCCTCCATGGCTCATTATTCAACTACTCTTGAATTCTATCAAATCCCATGTGCAGAGGCACCATGTGATACTCCCAGGTAGGTGCATAGTGAACACCCTTGCGATGCATTCCCCCCCCACTGTAGACTAGTGTTGCTGCTAAGACATGCGATGTCGCCAGCACAAGCAGGCAGGGAGGGAAGCTGCTGGTGGGGCTGTCTGCTGCAGCACGGTTGCATGAATGAATGGAGTGGTAGATTTACCCATCTGCAGAGGTGACTTTTGAGACGTCTCAAAAGTTGTCGTCAGCACAAGCACAAGCACAAGCACAAGCACAAGCACAAGCACAAGCACAAGCAGGCAGGGAGGCTGCTGGTGCTGGTTGGTGGGGCTGTCTGCCCTGACGTGTCTGCACGGTTGCATGAATGAAGTGGTAGATATACCCATCTGCAGGCAGAGGTTTGTGGGGGCGACTTGTTTGTTGCTTGCACCCAAGTGGTTGATGCACGCACACATCAAAATGTTACAGCTTTCTCCCTCCTCCCACCTTACACCTGTTCTGCGCTTCGTTTTCTGTTTTCTCCCTTATAGCTTCACACTACACTTTCTCTCTCCTTCCACACTCTCCCTCCCTCCACTCTCTCCCTCCCTCCACTGCAGCCCACCATCCGCGCCTGAATGCTGCTGCAGCTCTCGTGCGCTCAGGTGAGGCCTATGTGAGATGAGGGCTGTATATCAGGCGAGCTGAGAGCCACTTTGAGGTGACTCTGGAGTGTATTCAATAATCCAATTTTCATTTAAGGTTACCCTTCAGCTGATTGTTATTGTAGAATGAGGATCG